GCAGGGGCCATCCTATAGATCCTTCCCTTTGGGGTCTTACTCCCTGGAATGATTTCTATAGCGTGGACGACTTCCCTATCAACAACTCCTAAGGGTTCCTCGAACAGATCAGGGAACTTAGCAACGCGTTCTATCTCTGGGGGTGTTTTAACGGCCTCCCCCTTCTCAGAGACATAAACAAGGTACATACCCTCCTCTTGGTTTTGCTTGTAATAGTTATAGAATGCTGATGCGCACAAGCAGCCATAGGTATCTACAATACTACTGGCCTTGAACTTAGTCAATCTGACGGTTCGGCCATCGGGCAACTTGTATTTGAGCACCTTCTTATCCCAGTCGAACTGGGGCTCAGCATCYTCGAGGTAGTACATGCCTAACAACATATCGAATGGCAAGTCGTCGCTAACCAAGAACGAGATCTTATGGTTAAGCTCACCTCCTCCATAGGAGAAGGTACAGACTACGTCCTTGATGTAGTCTGTTACAATCATGCGCTCCTTGTTGGCCAAAGTAGATGCTACGGGTCTACTAAGGTACCGTACCCGGTCCTGTAGGTGCAGCCTTTCCAAACAGTTGCGACTTATGTAATTCCGCGTGGAGCCAATGTCTATGAAGGCACCACATTTGCGGCATCCCACATCGACTTCCACCATGAAATGTTCCCCTCTAGGACCTTTCCTTAGTGCCACTCAGGACTCGCGAGGGTCCTTGTTTGACCACTCACTCTCCAAGTCCTCTAAGGCTTCAGACACATCTAACGTACAAAGCATAGTTTGGTCTAGTTGTGTCTGCGGGGTGACTAAGGGGTCATTAGCCTTGGCCTTGTCATGAAGTAGGGAGGGTATCATTCCTACTTCATCTTGAGTAGAAGCAGCTACTACTTCCACTGGCCTCACGTGTTTCCCGAGCTAGAAGCCTGGGAAAAAGTTGCCCCAACTTTTGGCGCAACCTTTTGCGTAACCTTAGCGTTCTGACACTTCCACTGCGTGTGTCCGTATTCYCCGYAGTTGATGCAAGCGCCAYGCGATCGRCGKTCACGCCACACGTCTTGATCAAGAMCTGCCTTAGTCCACTCAGCCTGTTTGGTCTGATTGGAGGCGGCCTTCCCTTGACCCCTAGGCTGGCCCTTCCCTCGGCCTGCCGCCTTAGTCTTGACTACCGCGGCGAGGGTGCTACCCTCAACTACCTCCTCACCGTCATACTCTGAGTAGTCCATCAGGTCAGCGAGCTCATCGATTTCAGTTTGAGTCCCATCAGACTCAACCATCATCAACTTCGCCCCCTTCTTCTTCCACTCCTGAGGACTCTTCTTTTTCTTTGAGTCATTTCCTGAGGTGGGTTGAGCATTGCCTAGCGTGGCCTCTAAGTCTAAAGCTTTCCTAGACAATGTCTCAAATGAGTGGTACTCAGTGCGTGCCTCGTTGGCTAGTAAGTTCCTCACGTTCTCAGGTAAACACCTAACAAACGTGGTTAAAAGGAACTGGTCACTGTAGTTGATGCCTGGGACGAGGATCAGGCTCTCGACGGTAGTCATAAGCTCCCTAACTGACCTGAACTTGCGTTGGTCAAGTTTGTTAATGGCATCAGTGGCCCTTTGAGCCTCCTGTGGGTTATGCCATCGAGCTTCTACCATCTCCATGAATTGGTCTAAAGTCAATGACTTAGCCCAATCCGCCATGCGTCTCCCGTACCTGGCCTTCACAACTACACCATCTAACCACTTGGCTGCCTTACCCTCAAGGTAAGACGCCGCAGTTACCACTTCGTCCTCAGGCAAGGTCCTTTTGGCCTTCACCCAAACCGGGACCGTCCTCAACCATGTGTTGAGTTCCTCGTCCTTTCTCTCGCCTGAGAAGGCAAGAGGCGGTTTCATTAGGGTCTTTGGATACCAGTGGCCTTGCGGCTGTCCAGATTGCTGAACAGGTTGTTGTGGTGATGCAACAATCACCACTGGACTCGAAGAAGAAGATGCAACAGTCTGTGCGGCTGTTGCGAACGTACCACTTGGTTGTGTGCCAACTTGTACGGCAAAGGGACCTGACATCGCCGTTAACGACAACGGCGATTGTGCTGGTGGCCGGAATCCTGGCTTTGTCAATGCATCCAGAATCTGGTCCAAAGTGCTTTGCATGAAGTCCATCCTGCTGTCTATGTGCGCATGCAGTGACAACATGTTGTCCCTCAACACTTTCAGGGTGTCAGACAAACTCGATTCGTCCAATCCCTCTAACGCAGCCTTGTCAGCCTCTAACGTGTCAAGTCTGGCCGCTCTACTTTTTATCTCCTTTTCTCTATCGGTTGCTTTCTTCAGATCCTCCTCTAACTGCTGGCGGAGCCTCTCGACCTGTTGGATCTCTCTGAGCTCCCGCTCACGTGCGGTCATGGGGCTGAACTGCGAGCCTACCATTTGACTAGAAGACTRTCTAGACCCTGTTGAACYGGAAGTGCCYGAGGAACTCGTGGAACTCGTTGGCATTCCCAACTGAGTCCCACTATTCCCTGACGAGGACGCAGACGATGACGCAGCAGAGCTGGTACCATTAGCCATTGYTGTTGCTCTGGCTGCTGTTGCCCRCTCTCTTGCTACTYTGTTTGCTTCCTGTAGTCYTGCTGCTAGAGCACGGGCTCTAYGTTCGGCACRAAGCCGTCTTTCTTCTCCCTCGTCCAAGGTCCTGAACACGTGCGGAACCCTTAGTGCATCTGCACGTGTAAGTCTTCTGTTGTCTGCTCTATCATCAACAGGATCTGATCCACTCATTAGTTAGGCAGATAGTTTCTGCACTAGAATCCCCTAGTGGAATCCTACCACAGCATGTATYTGACCGACACCTAATTTTCTAACAATAGTTGTGTCCGGCGAGTATCCTACTATACCGAATCAAGTGGCATGTCTACAACATTCACACAGATTGTCTACATAGAGTAGATGCACCCTGATTGGTTCACTTACAACAACATTAGTTAGAACTGGCTATGGTAGCATACAACAGTCCTACACTAATCTGTCTGTGAGGTTAGCAGTCYGTCAACCAACTAATCAAAGGTACAAAAGACAATGTAGCAGATGTATGATTGATGGGTATGGTTGTGTAAACAGTTGAGCACCAATTGGAACCTACCCTCCCCTCAATCCAACCATCCGAACAGCATCATTGAGCAGGCAGTGTCTTCGTGTGCATTCCGGCCCACCCCTGTGCCCAAGTTGTCACCGAGCAAGCCAGCCCAACCACTCTTATTTACCCTCGTACGRCGACGAGCCTTCCTGTCCATGTGATCTGGCTGATCAGGAGGAATTTATAGAGCGCCCCCATCTCTTCAGGAATTATTTAACGTCGCAGTCAGGACGACGATCACAGCCAGATTCACAATGAACTCCCAACCAGAAATATTTATAGACGGTCTGGTAAGCGTCTGTCATGGGCTGGCATACCCGGAGCAACTTCTATCCGCGCAGCAAGTGCCAAACAGGACAGCAGCCATCGCATGCGTGTACTACTCCCTCACTTCCTCACGGTAAGAAGAGATTGAGAGAGTAGATAAGGTAAGGGAACAACGTCACTGGAGATAGCTGCCCCCAACCACAGATTTCTCACCAATTGAGCTGATGTTGCATTTGATGACCGGTCATGACATCGGTACCACCCACAACGCAATGCAGTGCCACCTTAGTCCAATGCCACATCAGCATGCTCTCATCACCAATCAAACATTCCGCTGTATCCCACGGCTAATAATGCCGTCAATAGCCTTCCGGTGCACCCCTCTCTACCCAGGGCGTGCACCTAGTGTAGCCTGACGTCACAAGTACCCACTGCGAAGAAGCATCATCA